CCATCCGATCCATCCATCCATCCATCCATCCATCCATCCATCCATCCATCCATCCATGTCAGCATTCCACAATATTTATCAGACATTTAAAAGCGAGCACTTTATCACCTATCTCAGTTTAAGAAGGAATTAAATTTGAAACAACAGCCAAATATAAAGAGTATTTTGGTTGACTAAGCCGCTCTACCATTCGTGGGTGTGAAAGAGCTTCCACAGAACATTCACGGTTTTGATCACGCACTTAGTAGCACAAACTTTTCAGGATTCGTGGGATGCGGTTACCCTGGTAGTATGGTGGTTAGTCCACCACATTCCTGTCAGTAGGTCACCCTCCCTTGGGGAAGCCTGCCATAAAGTTAATCCAGATTGCATAAATTTTGTTACGCTTAGGCGGGAGCCAAGCATCACAAATTCATTGTTAAGATGTAGAAACTACATCAATGTTTTACCAGTACAGCTTGAAGAACTGTACTACTTCAAGCTTGAAAACAAAACAAAAAACTCCACATTTTGAGCAACAAATAGAAAAAAAGGGGCTAAATTAAATATCATCATGAAGAGATCATGTTTACTGCCTGTGAGCATGACAACTTCTGCAAATAATTTCAGGTTTTTTATCGATACATTGAATAACTCAACAACACCTCAACTTGCACATCATTATTAACAGTATTAACCACCGGAATCTCCTTCAGAGAAAAAAACAATCATCAGAGCCCAGGTAAGGAATGGGCATTTGTTCATAGACCACAAACAACATCCTGCACCTATTTCACCGTTCTAACTTCAGCCATTCTGCTAGCAGTAGGAATTGGTTTAACCGACAGAGAATAAAAACTTGTGACCCCAGGTTGGGAGCAGATAAACCGTGGGCCACATGTGTGTGATGCTAGCAGTAAGTCTGTTAATGCAGGATGCGCTAAAATTCCCACGATCGTGGCGGCAATAGCCATATAAAGTAAGCAAACTCTCCAAACAAACAAAGTCAGGCACATAAGTAAGTGTGGGACAACTTTTTTTGCTACATACAGGTCGTATTTTACTTGATGGTAGTCCAAAGCACTCCCTTTAATTCCGGGTAACTGTACAACACCAATGGATAATGAGTGAAAACAGAGGGTTTTATTTTTTTGGTTTGACCGTAACCTGCGATAATGGCTGGTGACCAATTTAAATCGCGAAAAATTCACCAACATTCAATTTTGGTTTGACAGAAAAGCGTACACTGCCAGTGGCAATGACTACGCGAGTAAGGGGCAATGTTTTAGCAGTTTTCACCCACGTTCAGGATGGCCAAAATGGACATTTTTCCCATGCTTGTTTAAGCGTCTTTAAAGCTACGTTTATATTCCCAACTAAGTACTATAGAGCCTTTTAAAGGTGCGTAGTTTTACATAAGAAGGCGAAATGGAGGGAAGTTTCGAGAATGTTAGCCATTCAACTACTATTTTGGTGGTTTGTTAAAGTCCAAACTTGCGTAGAAATGAGTTAATGGCCAATGCATCTTTAAGTTCAGCTAAAGTATGTAGTATTGCATTTCTTGGGGCCCTGTAAGTTCAAGGGAGGAAATGCAAGATTTTTAGCCAATGCTGTGAAATCGAAAGTAGCGCTTATTAAAACAAGAAGAATTGAATTTTCAAATTACTTTGCTTTTCTTTGTCTGTCAGTAAAGTCAGTCAGAATCCTTGTTAGCCGATATTGCGAAATGGGTTTTAGTCTCCGAATCAGCTCCTTGCTTTGTGGCGTTTTGCCGACTCATTCTTGTAAATATACACATAAGAGGAACTTAAAAAGGGTGCTAGTTCTTCGGAAACAAGACTAAATAAAATATGAGCAGTTTTGATCTCATTGTGGAACCATTAAATGATGAAAGACATTCCATTTTCCTCTGCGATCTTGTGCATTTTAAAATGAGGGAAGTTTTGACTACCATCGTGGCTGCTGTCCCTGCGTGAAGTAAAAAATGCTTTCAGATCTCGAGAGCTCCATGCTTCGAAGTGGTTTACTAAATAGATGTTCCACGAAGACATCGGAAATAAATCAAAATTTATCGGGAGAGAACAATTCACAGCCGGAGAGTAGATAGACAGCTCAACACACAACTTCAGCACCAGACGGATGTTAAGATAATGGATGGCGAAAGTAGTGACATCATAATTCCCTACTTTTTTCCACAAAGTCTCACGATCAGTCCGACAGTCCACAACTGTACATAAGAAACAAGACTTAAAAACGTAGGATTCGAAAATTTAACTATTATATTACCCTTAGTCCCCTAGTTGACTGAAATTGCACACAGCGGCAAGCTTTGATGGAGGGAAACATGTGTCTTGACTCCGGAGGCTTTCAGGTTAGGTGCACGATCATATTAGGGTGTGCCGACCTCTTCTTCCTAAAAATTTATTTTCACCTAACATCTCCTCGCGCTTATAGTTTTATTTCGTAAACAGCTGCTGCACCATGTGTCCTTTTGCCAAGTAAAGAGTGGGGGAAAAAGTCCTCCAATTTCAAAGGCAAGGGAGACCATCCTTACATTGAAATCACTGATAGATGCAAAAAAGTACAATTCTCTCTGCCACTCAAGCCCAAAAGGATAAATAAAGTACTGCACCTGAATAGGATGCATACAATTTTCAACACTCCAATTACCTGTAATGGCAGGGTTAATAATAATTAATTCGTATGAGGACTGTGAGGAGGGATGAAAAGAAACCCACACAACCGCAATAGCCCATGCCCATGGGAATGCTGTGAAAAAAGTCATCAAAACTCCCAGCTTTTATTAAATGCCTCTGACAAAATAGTAAGACTCTCACATAAAAGAAAGAGAGGAAGCCCGAAATGGCTGTAATTAACTCAACTACCCTATCATTCTGAAACCACTTCATCCTCGCGCATTTAATGGTGGTCTTTTAACACTTAAATAGGCAAAGGATAAACAGAGTTGCTTTTTAACTAAAGAACAAAATAGTAAACGGGTAGAATATATTAGGGGACTTGTGAAACATTAATGCATCGGAAGAGGGATGCAGGAGTCTAAAGTCAACATACTCATAAGTGGTAACTTAACCTGTCAACTGGGAAGCACTATCATCAGTCGTGCGGAACGGTGGACAAGAGGAAGTCGAACAAAGTGTTTTTCCATCACCGGGGTGGAAATTTTCCTTTTTATGAGCGGACTTCATGCTCTTGACTTCCTACTCTAGTCTGCTTTAAATATGTGTGGGAGACAACTTAAAATGCCCTAGTAAAAACTTTGTGGATGTAGTTACATCAACTTCATTTATGTGGACTAACACGGAGAAATGTTGTCGACATGCATTGGGGGTTCTCTGAAGTAGTAGTAGTCAATTAAATTTTTCCCTCTAATAATAGATCCTAACTTGAAAAGAGGAACCGCTAGGCAGCATAGGTACTAATCTTGTTGACCACCTAAGCCATAAGAATGATGCGACGGAGAAGAGAGAAGGACACTTGTCCAGAAGTTAAAGGGAGAAAGAGGGTTAACTGATGTGAGACAGCTACAACAATATTATTTTGTAAATTAGGCTAGCAGGATATTTTAGCTAAATCATCTTAATGGCAGATTTAGGAGTAAGAGTCCCAAAAGGACAGAATACTTTACTAATTGTTGTCGTTTTCACGCCTGGATACCTCTTTCTTAACCATGCAAACATAGGCTGAGAAACTTATGAGGTAACAAGTTAAACAGTTAACATTTGAAGAGTCGTTGTTATCAAACCAAATATGCAAAGATGATGCAGGGACTCATGTGGAGCATTTTAGGTTGCTAAAAATTAGACGTTACTGAGTAATTACAGGCTCTAATGCCACAAAAGGAACTCCCAAGAGTCAGCAATTGCAAACATTAGCCTTGAATGAGGCCTAATAAATCAAGCTCGTGGGGGAGAAACAAACTGTTAACTGGATTTGCCTTACGAGTCAAGTTACCCTAGCACACAAATAAAAAGTCGAAATTGGCTAGGGGGTAGTTTAAAGTGCGTAAATAAAGGATGGAGCAAAGTAGTTTATTAAATATTTGAGGCATGGAACTTAACAGCCAACCTGCTTTAGCACATAAATAAAGCATTGTTCTCCGGAAGCAATACACAACTAGTTGGAGGAGAGATCTCAGTCTATAATTTAAATTGACATGATGGTATCATAAAACCGATTTGTGTTAAAAATAGACCGAAAACTAGTATGAATTCACAGAAGAAGTTTGACAAAAACGGGTGAAGAAAATTCCAGGCTTCTCGAATACGTCTTAGCAATAACATCCAAATTTACCAAAAAAGTAACTTACAAAGCTTGCATTTAAAACGCTAAAGAAGCAGCACATACGCATGAAAATCCCAGGAATTGTTTTCTACATCAAAGTAGCCCCAGGACATGGCCATTTGAGGAGACATGACAGGTCGCTGAAGGGAGGCGAGACAGGCTACAAGGAAATCCGCCACGGTTCCAATACAAGTCCATGGGGTGTGCTGTATTGGTCGGAGAAGGGAAGGCAAAGGGCTTTGTGAAACCGATCTTGATTTACTTTGCGATGCGAAGGAATTGCAGGTGTCCATATTGTCAGTAATCGCTGGTCGCTGAGTGGGTGATCCTACGGAAGTTTTGCGCAAAACTGCCGTCTTTTCGAAGATGTCCCGCTCCTGTTCCACGTTTATTGGGGTCATTGCAAACTCGTCTGGTTGATTCTTGAAATGCCAGAGAATTGTGGCACAGCCAAAACCTATAATATGAAGGTTGCAAACAGCTAAATGTCTTGCGACACTTCAAACGGAAATAAATTATTCTTCATCTAAAGAGTGACTAAATTTTAGCACGACAAATTTGAATCGACTTCTCACCAGTAGACGGCTTTTCACTCCTCGTGGGGTTTGGAAGAGAATCAAGAAATTCCTTACTGCATCGACGATCCATCCATGTGACTAATTTTCCACACCCTCCTCCACTCACATTTACATCGAGCTTTTTCTTCTCATTTTTTGATTTGTCCACAATTGCAAGGTTGTTTCCTAGCCATCCCATGACTCCATGCATCTGGCCGGTCACAGTGATAGCTGTTACACGGGTCATTAACTGAGGCGGTATCGAGGAGAGGAGAATGTGAAGGCATTGGAATATCTTTCCAACGTCCTGGGTGTGCTCGTTAGGAAGGTAGAATATTTTGAAATTGCTCAAACTGGGTCCTGAAACTAGTCCGGTGTCCCTTGACAAACTGGTTTCAACGCGAGGGTTTGAGCCTTGTGTAACAAGAGCGACCTTAATGCTTGAGGTACCAAGGTCAATCCCAAGGATTAAGGGGACCTCGGTTTCCATTTAGAGTATTTGAATGATAGGACAAAAGAGTGGAACTTTTAGAGGTAACGAGTGACTTGCTGGTCGCAGATAGTAACAAAGTACATAAGCAAATGTACAACTAATTGGTGCCTAGCTACTATATCTGGGGGAAGGGCAAGACGAAAAATTCCAAAAAATCCTTTGTTACGGTAGACGGTTGCATAATTTTACACGGAAAACAAACTTAATAAACATTCCGAACGCACGGCATAAACAATAATTGGTAAATAATCCAAAGCACCCTCAAATGCATGTTTAAGGTCGAATTTATATTAATCTACCCACCTAAACAAATAACACTACAATCCAGACAGTAAATAATTCTAATTAAACCAAAAGCATTGCTTAATTTTTTAAATCCAGGTGTTATGACGATAACTTACATAAGTGCGCATGTGCTAAACCTTGACAACTTTTATTTAATAAAGCAGTGTAAACTGTAATTCAAATAGGTCTTTGTCTTCCCTTTACATTCAGCAAGTGCCTGTGTAATTATTACGCATTCTAAAACTGGCGATTGCTTGCAATTTGAATGAATTTTTATAATACTTGCCGGATGCTAACTTCTGGAACTCTTAATAACTAGTTTGCATTCTCATTTTCCGAGCTCTTAATTAAAATGTCAAGTATTCTGTTAAGCGGAAGGTGATCCTAAACTGTGGGAGATGTTTTTGGAGTAGTAGTATTGGACCAAGGAATGTCATTACAACAATGCAAGTTTCCTTCGAACGGTTTTACCTGTGACTAGTAATTTGCCTAAAAAGAAAAGCAGGTTGGCATTACACCGACTTTTTGCATTTATGCAAGGTCCTTTTTTTGCTACCTTGGAATAGCCTTATCATCCCTCGCACATTCGCAATCGCTTCCATTTGGCACTTTGTCAAAGTAGTTTTTCGGCATGCAAAATTAATCTCTGGTAAACACTTTCAGTTAGACGAAAAGTCTTTGAGTTCACTTCTTTCCTTCGGGAAAATCTGTTCTTTGTGAAACTTGTCGGCAATTACTAGCTTCTTTACTTCCTACTTAAAGAAAAAACTCTCTTTACGTAGAACTTTACACTCCCGTTGTCAGCAATATTCGTTTTTATTAAACTAATGTGTAAAATACAAGAGAAACCTATTTGGATCGACAAAAAACCAGTGAAAATTGCCTTTAAAACGAGAGAGTAGTTGTAACTCATGCTGCTGAAATTTTGTAAAATCTGAGG